GTGGGGTGGACCATCTGGTGGAAGTTTGACTTGGAAGCGGGAGGACCAGATGAAGGAGTCATACCCGACTATGTTTTCCTCAGGTAATTTTCAAGGGCAAAAATTCTTTAAGTGGGGGAGAGTTGTAACACCCCGACTTAATTAATTAATTATTTAATTAGTTAATTATGAAATATGATGAATTATTGGTGAATGTTGTTGGTATGTTGTTGGATATGATGTGTGATGTTATGTTGTAGCATTAAGGGAATTAAGGTGAATAGAGCATTAGGATAATTAGATAATTATTTAGTAATTATTTAGTTTATTATTTGAAAATAAAATATGAGAATATAGTGAAGAGAAGATAGTGAGGGCATGCCGTTAATTAAGGAAAGGCTAAGCGATGATAATTTAGGCGAAGCATATTAGGGTCCAAAGGTTAAACAAAGAACAAGGGAAAGTATTTCATTTGTACGATCGTGAAAATATTTGATGAGCAGAAGAGAAAGTTAGGGCACGAAGAACAAAGAGGTATTCCGATAGAACGCTAAGAAGAGTAGCAATTGCTAGAAATCTAAGGTAATGGGTGATCTTTTATTATGATTGATATGGGGTTTAGAGGTATGTAGGGAATTGTTGGAGTTTTGATGATTTGATGATTTGATGATTTGATTATATGTTGTCTTTTGATGAATTTGTGTCGAAATTGAGGAAAATATCATGTTGATTTGCCATGAGTTTGTGTATAGAATACCTATAATATTGTGTAGTTGTTGTTTAGTGATTCTATATTGAAAATCATGGAATTTTGGATTGTTTTTAGATGAAATCGTAAGAGGAATTATGGATGAACATGTGCAAAATCGCAATAGGAAGTTGCAGTCTTCTATGCGTCGTCGGGCGATGGGATGTGTCTTCGGGTGATGCTGGTGTCACTTGTTCTCTGTCGGGCGAGCCAAGGAGCGATGGAATGATGGAAAAGGGATGCTACTGGAGTGCGTCACTTGCATCATCGTCGGGCGATGCAAAGAGCGAAGGGTGTGTTGCCCAGGCGAGTGAGGAGCATCGTCGGACGATGAATGCCAGAATGGAATTAGTGTGTTGTCGCTCCCATGTTGTCGGGCGATGCTTCTGGCGATGGACGGCTGTAGGATTTTCAAAAAATTTCATAACTTGAGTTTTAGAACTTTGTTTGAGGCGTCGCTCGAAGCGTTTGATAGCTAACACGACGAACTAAAGGCAGGTGGAATAAAATGAGTAAGAAGATGAATATCCTAGTACCTAGGATATGATTAGAATTTTAATAAGTGGTCTACCATGATGTATGTTATTATGATGAATTGTTGATGCTTTAATGAGTTGATTAACTAGATGAATTGTGAATACTACGATGGTAATATGTAGTAAATATTGGATATTGTTGATGATTTCATGAATGATGATGCAATTTTACTAGCTGTGGTCGTTGGATATTTTGTTGTTGTGCACCATGCATTCATGGCATAGTTTGGACAACTTTAGCCCGCCCATGTTGAATTGGGACGTTGGTCCAGTGTTGGCCTTAATACTATTGTGTGGATTGAGTGTGTTGGTATTGTTCTTCAGTTCCAAGATGGTATCAATCCTATGGTAGGGATCTTTAGAGGGTGATGGATCAAGTACTCATAATAAATTGGTACCACATACATAAGTCTATGTTATTGCAATACATTCTATGTGAAATTGCATAATTGTTGGCTAAATGATGTTATTTATGTTGTTGTGTTATTTGACGATGTTATTGATTTTGATGTTGATCTTGAAACTATAATGTTGTTGTTTGAACTACTATGTCTATTTTGTATATCTTTTGTAATGAATGTGATTACTCATCCTTTCTGTTTGAATGTTGCCTCCACGTAGGTAACGCAAAGGTGACCAGGAGTAGTTCGTATAAGCTTAGAAGATAGCTTGGAGTGTGTTGTTTATTTTCCGTTGATTTCTTAGGAGGTATTGCTCGGATATGTAACATTGGGGTTAGGAATAATTGTTTATGAGTTGTTATGCTTTTTGTTGTTATGAGATTTTGAACCATCTTTCATGGTATTTAAGTTGTTTTAAATTCTGAACCATGAATAATGATGTATTTGATGTTATGTTAATGAAGAAATTGAACTATGATTTTCCGCTCTGTAGTAAATGTTTTAAAGTTGTTTGAGAACTCGTGTTACGGAGTAAGACGTACATGTATGGTGTTTTATGAAGCATGTGACGCCTTTTTGATGAATTACTCTGACTATTTAATTATAATATTTGTGGGGTTTTACAAGGGTGTTACAATGAGCACCGTTATACGTTGCATTTCATGAGCTTTTTTCTTTATTACTTGAGATCAAGCAACAGTCTAAGTTTGGGGGAGTTTGATCAGTGGTTTTTACACCTTTATTTACCATTAATTCTAGTTAATTTTGTCATTATTTTTAAGCGCTTTATTTTCCTTTCTTCCGCATTTTATGCTTTGGTTGTGTCTCTTTAATATTTTTAGGTTCAATTAAGCATTCAAGAAGAATCGGAGTGAAAACCAGAAAAAATTGCAAGAATTTGGAAAAGTTTCTTGCACACTCCAGGAGGTCTGACACGGCTTCCCGTGTCAATTGGCACTGGCCGTGTCTGGCTGACATGGTCGCCCGTGTCAGCTGACACTTCTCGTGTCAGGATGCCTGGGACAAAAAATCATCATTTTTAATTACACAAGAGCAACACGGGCGCCCGTGTCAGCATGTGACGCTGATTTCTTGATATTTTGATATTTTTTTCATGGGTTGAGTTGTGGGGGCATTTTGGATATTTCCAATCGGTCTGAGTGAATGTTTACTATTTAGATGAGTTTTGAAGAGGAATTAGGGGACTTTTTGGTGAGTGGAGAATTACACGAGAAAAAATTGGAGAAGACAGTGGTTTCGATGAAAGGAGATTTTCATGAACGGAAGCAATTGAAGATCAAATTTCTCCCCAATGCTAGGAGAGTGTCCCTGATTTACATTTGTAATGACTTTGATTTGATAATTGCAATAACAATGTTTGTTTTCATAATAGATTTAATCTCATAATGTTTCTAGTGTCATCTCTGTCGGACAAATAGGGTTTGATTTATGATTAGCAATTAGGCTAGATTGTCATTGTTAATGCTTTTATGAGATTATGTTATAGTATATATCACCTAGGACTAGGGATACCCTATAACAACTGGATATTCTTGATAATAAAAATTCTTAATTTCATCGGTAAGTTTCTTTGGACTTAGGGCTTAAGATGAATGATTAAAAGTTTTCTCACTAAGGACTTAGGAGTAAACACCCTTAAGAGCCGGTAATTGATTATTTAAAACAAGTAGTTGCAATATTAACTCAGAGTTGTTCCAGGAATAAATCACACATCTTTCCTAGCATGTTACTCATATATGTCAAAACAGTCATTCACATCTATTTATTTTATTCTCAATTATTTTGTTTTAGCAAATCAAACCCAAACCCTAGTTTTTGTTTAATTGAACAACAATTCGAACTCCATGTTTATACGCAATCCTTGAGATCTACATTCAGGGAACTTTCATCATTATTACTGCAGAGGCAAAATAGTACACTTGCTATTTTTTCGATCAGTATGTCAAATTGTGAAATACCTGAAAGGATCACCTAGAAGGGGTCTCCTAATCAGAAGAGATTCTAAACCTCAAATACTTCGATTCGGGGATGCAGATTGGGCAGAGTGCATCAGCACTCACAAGTCAACCTCAGGCTATTATTTTTTCATAGGATCGTCATTGGTTTCTCGGAGAGCAACTAAGCAACAAATAGTTTCGAGAAGTTCTTCGGAAGCAGAATATCGGGTGTTATCTTTCGCTAGTTGTGAACTTCAATGGTTGATTTACTTATTACGTGACTTAGGTTTTCAATGCAACAAATCTCACATGATCTAATGTGACAACAAGAGCGCAATCCACATTGCACCCAATCTCGTCTTCCATGATCGTACAAAGCACCTCAAGATCGATTGCCACTTTGTACGAGAGAAACTCATGCAAGGCATCTTCAAGTTGCTTCCTATTAAATCACAAGCTCAAGTTACTAACTTCTTCACCAAACCATTGCCACCAAAGAGCTTCAACTCCTTCATTTTGAAGCCTAACATGCATGACATATACCATAATAAAGTTGAGGGAAGGTGTATCAATGATCAATAACTTAAAGCACAAGTAACCGTGGTTGTAGCATACCACATCCTTATAGTTGGTATTCAGTGAGAGAAGTTTGTTAAGTTTGTTAGGATCAGTTATAGACCCTAGCTACTTATAAACATCAATTGTAACCAACTTGTAAACTAGATTGAATGAAAGCATTTTCCAATTTTCTCTTCTTCTCCTTCATTGATTTCTCAATTCTTCTTCATTTTACCATGCTTATTCAAAACTTCAAGAACATGTTTATTTTTTTAAATAGAAGTTATTTTGTCTTCCAAATTTTATTCTATTTGAAGATAAGATTTACACCTTTTGAATCTAAACGTGATTTTAACACTAAAATTTATAATTCAACTCATTATTGCAAAAAAATATCTAAACATAAGTTACTATTGAAAATTATTGCGCCAACCCTAATAGTAGTTCTGTTTCAAGCAATGCCAGAGCTATATACAAAATGGAAATAAATGGAAGACATTAATTTAAAAGTGATTTGTTAATGGTTATTGAAGTAGTTCTGTTGTGAGCTACATGCATATATGAGTATCATGAGTACTTCAAATAGCGAAAAATGCGAAACAGTAAGAAGAATTGATTTGTGGAGTCTTGATAGTAGGACAAACAAGTTTTGGCAATTATCTGTAATAGTCAATATTACACAGCTACCAGCCACACAAGTTTAAAATATCTCCTATATTGGTCCTCTTCCAACCGAATCCAAAGAAAGCAAGAGTGATAATCCGCATTTGAAAAAACTAAAGTAATAGAGCTTGCATCTCCATCATTATATTACTTGAGCATGACTGGCATGGAAATGGCAATGGCGCAGGGGCTGTCAGCTGTCGCAAACAGTCTATCCAAAATCCTGATAGAAGAGTATGCACTGTTGGGCAGCGGGACAATTGGGCGCGTAGAATGGATTGAAAGAGAGCTGAGGTCAATGCATGGATTGTTGGAACGGGTCGGGAAGGGCGGGTACGGCGAACAGGAACAAGAGTTGAATGAGTGGGAAGAGAAATTGAATGAAATAGCCCGTGATGCAGAGGACCTCATAGAAACTTTTGTGATAAAATCGGTGAAGCGGAGGAGGTGGGGGTTTCTGTATTGGATAGACAAACACAAGGTTGGGAAAGAGCTAGAGAAGATTCGCAAAAGGATGAGAGACATGTCTCAGTCTGGAATGAACTTAAATACAAATATTGTGAGTGTCTCTATTGAAACAAGTCGAGGAGGAGAAGCATCATCGTCCACCACCACAACCACCACAGTGGTAGTAGCTATGGAGAAACTGGATCACATTCTGAATCAAACTATTATAGTTACCGACCAAGAGGTGATGGAAATGGTGGAGCGAGTAAAAGATGAATTTGTGTACCTGCAAAATAATATAGTGTCGTCTAATTTGAATTGGTCAACAAGTGAAAGAGGAAATGTGTGGTTGGAAGAGGTGAAGGAACTATGCAATTATACTGAAAGTGTTGTGGGTAATTTCATCCTTGTTAAGGAAAGACGGTCTAAATTGGGTAGGCTTAAGAAGACCCTTTATCTCCCAGCCGATTATGCTTCTGAAAATGAACTTAAGAAGCAGCTGAAGTATACCAGGTCTCGAATAGGAGATGCGATGCACAGATGTTTGACGTATGAAGTTGGAGGACAATTAGACATGAGAGTGGGATTAAAAAGAACAACTCCCGCACCAGACTTGTCACAAGAAAACTTGATAATTCTCTGTATCATGTTCCTTGTTGTTATCATTCTTTTCCACTTCAGGCCACCGTCCTTCTTGTTAATAGTCTTTCTCTTTTTCATAATGTTTGATGAAAGAGAAAAAATAACAAAACGTAAGTCCAAGTCCAGTCTGAAGAAGAAGAACAACAAGAAATGGAAGAGAAGGGAAATAATAAGACGGATTATGCGCTTTTTGTTTTCTACTGTAATTTATTTTCCGATTTTCCACATGTTTCAGTTTCACCCTGCTCTGGCAGCGTGCCTTTTCATCTCGAGTTATCCACTCATTGAAATTATTACATGGAGTCTCAAGAAGGACAAGATATGGAAGGGAAGAGAAATAATAAGACGCTTTCCACGCTTCTTGTTTTCCACTGTTATTTATTTACCGCTTTTCCTTCTGTTTCAGTTTCACCCTATTCTGGCATCGTTCCTTTTCATCTTGGGTTATTCAGTTATTGAAGTTATTGTGTGGGGTTTGAAGAAGATGAAGAAACAGAAGGGAAGGGAAATAATAATACGGTTTACACGCTTCTTGTTTTTCAACGTAATTTTTGTACCGATTATCCTCCTGGGTGAGCGTTACTCTGTCGCAGCAACGCTCATTTTAATCTCGGGTTATTCACTTATTGAAGTTATTGCATGGAGTGTGAATCTGCAGACATCTATAGACAGGAATTTGAAGTATACACGCAAAGTGTTTTCCGCTATCATTTATTTACCGATCATCCGCCTGTTTCAGTCTCACCCAGTTCTGGCAACGTTCCTTTTCATGTTGAGTTATTCACTTATTGAAGTTATTGCGTGGAGTAGGAGTTTACGGAAGTCTATGGACAAGAATTTGAAGTGTGCGCAAAGATATTTAGCTCTAATGCGTGCGTTTTTAAGTGATACGACTGAGAGTACAGAAGGCCTAAATAAGATGCAGAGTGTGTGGGTAGGTCAACTGAAGGTCATGTCTCAATATGGTCAATCTCTTATTGATGCTTATCCAAAAGGTAAGGGTGGTTGTTTCAGCAGAATTAAGTTTTCCAGGGACATCAACTGTTTGTTGAAAGAGATTATTAATATATCAGATAGGAAGGCCATTTATGGCATTGCAAATATTCAAAGAACGCAACAAGAGCTTCTACCATTATTAACCCCAATTAGCAGCATTCAAGCGAGAGATATTGAGGATGAAATCATTGTTGAACACGATGAAAGTTCGGATGTTATGCCAGCCGCAGCTGCCTCCTCCTCGTATCAGCCAGTCATGGGGCTCAAAATGAAGGTCCAATTAATCAGAGGGGAAAAGGAATTAATGGACGCATTGCTTCTGGATGCAAATGGAATGGGAGAACTAGATGGAAGATCCAGAATCTGGGTGGAGCAAGTAAGAGGTATTTCCCTTGAAGCTCAATTTGTCCTTAACAAATATGATGCCAAATTGAATCATAAGCCAGTTCTCATCTACATTTGTAAGTACTGGACTCGACATGTTGTTAGTAAGAAGATAGATGGTATCAGAAACAAAATTGAAGATGCTTCTAGGAGAAGAAAAGCATATGGTTTAGTGCAAATTCAAAGCCGAGTCGTATCTAAGATTCAAATATTACGTGCAAGGATGCAACCGTATCTCGCTACCAAGAAATCCAGTGTGGTTGGATTTGATGATGACACACAAGTTCTGATGGCGGAGTTACTGTCGGACGAGAAATGCCGCTGCATTACTTGGATTGTTGGAGTCGGAGGCACAGGTAAGACAACACTAGCCAATTTGATATTTGAAGACAACACTGTTGTAGCTCATTTTCAGCGTCGCGTATGGGTGTCACTGCCTTCCAATTGTACGACAGACCAGTTTGTTGCAGAAATTGGCAAGGAGGCCGCCGAGAAAATTACAGTAGAAGAAGAAAACATGCCCACTGATTACGTACTCACAACCTTGGCACACTCAAAGTACCTTATAGTTGTTGATGGCCTTAAAGAAACATCCAAAGTATACTTGGATACCTTGAACAGGGTCATACCTGATATGTTAACAGGAAGCAGAGTTCTTTTTACTACTCGCAATGCAACAGTAGCCCAACATGCAGCAGGTAGAATCATTCTTCACCCATTACAGTTATTAGATGATGAAACTAGTTGGCTGTTGTTCACAAGACATTTGAAGGTCCCCAAGTCAGAAACAGAACTTATCAAGGTTGGAAAAGAAATTGTGATGAAATGTGGGGGACTGCCATCACAAATACTGAAAATAAGTGATTTGCTTTCACATAAAGATGTTACACATGAGGAATGGTTAAGCGTGCTAGGAGGGCAGCAGCTCAATGAAAATCAAATACAATGTTGGTCTGAAACGCTAGACACAATTAATACAAACTTACCTTATTATCTGAGAAGATGTCTATTTTACTTTGTGCTATTCCCTGCTGAATTTGGGATCCCTGTCAGAAGGTTGGTTGTTTTGTGGGTTGCCGAGAGTCTAATTCATCAAGCAGAAGATGACGAAGTGCCCCCGGAGCTCGTTGCAGAAAGGTACTTGACAGAGTTGATAGATCGGAACATGGTCCAAGTAGCCAAGAGAAAGCGCAATGGAAAGGTGAAAACATGTCGTCTCCCTAGTGCTTTGCGGCAACTCTGGTTGTCAAAGGCTAACGACTCCAGATTTCTACAAGGTCGCCGATCTGCCATGGATTCAAGTGCAGACCCAAAAAAGTCCATTATTCGCCGGGTTGCAGATCATCTTGATAAAGATGATATCTGGAACGATCACATTCATGGTGACAATGCTGATTCAACTTCCTTTCAAAGCTATTACAAGGACGTTCTCTCCTTTCATTCCTTTGATAGTCAAGAGGGGAGTAAACCTGGAAAACAAGTAGGTAACTTTCTCAAGGGATGTATTTCAAGTGATTGCTTTTTACTCCTTCTGGTGCTTGATCTTGAACGCGTTTACAAGCCCAACTTGCCTAAGCGCATATCAAGACTTACCCGGCTAAGGTATCTTGGCTTGAGATGGACCTACTTAGAGTCACTTCCATCATCTATAAGCAAGTTGTTGAAGCTGCAAACACTTGACCTCAAACATACTTACATACATACTCTTCCTACCTCAATTTGGAAGATGGAACTCAGACACTTGTTCTTGAGTGAGACTTACCGCACCAGATTTCCACCTCAACCAAAAGGTAATTCTCTATCTGACCTCCAAACATTGTGGGGACTGTTTGTGGATGAGGAGACTCCAGTGAAGGGTGGGTTGGACAAATTGGTCAATATAACAAAGTTGGGATTAGCATGCCAATCAATGTCACTAAACCAAGAGCCGATGATAGCTCAACTTGAGACAGTATCTGACTGGATTACAAAATTAGAATACCTTCAATCGCTGAAACTGAAATCTAGAGATGAAAAAGGTCGACCTTGGACTTTACACATGAAATCTTTCGAAAATAATGCATATCTCACGGACATGTATTTGCTGGGAAGCTTGAGCAGTTCATCTATTGTGTCCCAATTTCCACTAAGCCTAGTTGAACTTACCCTATCACATTCAAAACTACAGGATGATCCCATGATACTTTTGAAAGATTTTCCAAATCTTCAAACACTGTGTTTACTTGCAGAGTCATACACGGGAACAACTATGGTTTGCAAATCTTATAGCTTTCCGCAGCTTCATGTATTAAAAGTTTGGAAGCTGGAGCAATTAGAGGAATGGAAGATAGAGCCAGAAGCACTCCCTTGTCTCAGACAACTCGAAATCAGATCCTGTTGCCATCTGAAAACGCTTCCTTATGGACTAAAGCATATCAGCATTCTGCGTGAGTTGAAGTTAACAAACATGCCAAGGGAAATCAATGCTGAGGCGTGTAACTTCCCACCCAGCTGTCAAGTTGTCCAAAGTCATTTTCAGTAGAATATATTTCCCCCATTGCACAGCACGGTGAGTACTCAGTTGGCTCATTTTTGGACGTTTGCTTTCTTATTTTCAATAGGCACGTAGTAGTTTAATTTGGAAAACTACTTTTGGCAGCGAGCATTTGGAATTTATCTACTGTGGCTTGTTCTGAAGGAAGGATTGCATATCTACAAACTTAGTCAACTTAGTTGCTTGCCGTGCAAATGGAACTACTACTTGCATGTTGTTGATATTCATTTGAATTATATGTATGTATGAAGTTTAAGTATGTTTGTAGAATTATTTGCTATGTATTGTTTCTATTTTGACACTTTTGAATAGTTCTAAAATTGTGTGTGAAATATTAATATTTGGACAACTTAATTACCTAGACCGTTATGAATGTTGTGTGTGCCAATATTGGAACAGGATGTTGTATTAGCTTAATTTTAAGCGGATGGATGGTCACGTGTGTTGAGTTTGTTCTGCTATATGATCTTTGAGATTATTTTACATTCTTCATAGACTTTTTCTACTGTTATTCAATGTCATATTCATTCTTTTTTCTTTTTTTTTTCTTTAAATTTAAAATTACTTATGAAATAAATTATTATATTTAAAATGCCTCTTTTCAATGATTCTAGAATTTGGGAATGATGTACAAATTGCTCTGGTTTATATGAAATTTGCTTGTATGATAAATCATATATACAAAACTGACTTATCTTTAGTCATAATTCTTACCACCAATGGTCGATTTTCTTAATATTGCCTTCCCTCGTGATTCAAATTGATTGTGTGATACTAGTTATTTCACAAGAATAATAATAATTTTTTAACTATCAATAGTAGAGTAACTATGTATAAAATGATAATTCAAATGAAAAATCATTGAGATTTTTTTTAAGGAGGGATGGCTTACGCCCAAACAAAAAGAGACTACAACACAACACTCATAGGGAGGGACTTCCCTCTAGCATCAGAAGCCACAAAATGCTTGATAAAATCCAGACAACTATCTCTAAAAACCTTAAACTCTTCACTCGTGGCACCATACTTAGCTAAGGCGTCCGCGCAATGGTTTGCCTCTCTACAAATACGATCAACTTTAAACTCTTCTAACTGCTCCAGCTTCCTCAAGATTTGCTTAACTAAGGTGAAACTGTCCATATCAATTGCCCTCTATGTCTTAAGCATTCTGCAAACTGATACTGAGTCCACATTCAGCTCCAATCTAGTTACACCCAACTCCAGCACCAGAGAACTTTCTTTATAGATTCCCCACAACTCTGCTTTAGTGACATTGCAAGAACCTAAAAACTTGAAAAAGCTGCATTCGCACTCACCACTGGAGTCTCTAAGAATACCTCCACAACCAGATAAGCGACTATTCCCGCATGCTCCATCTGAATTCGACTTCATCCAACCTCTCTTCAGAATTTTCCAACTCGCCATGATTGGAGCACTTTCCTTATTTGCCATAATGCAACTATTTAGCATACTTTAGTTATATTCCTCCATCTGGTTTTGCTCATAATTACTCGGATTGACAGGTCGATTAAAGTTCTCTTCATGCATCTCCATATTCCTCTAATACCAAACAACCGCCCACTGCCCAATAATTGGGTCAATGATTATTCTCATTAAGATTCAGCATGATCCAATCTTCAAAATCCGTCGTAAAGAACCTGCTCTTGATGCTGTTGGGTACCTTATGATTCCATATTTCCGTGGCTTTGGGACAGTCTCTAATGGCATGCAAAACTGATTCCTGAACCGCCCCACAACTGATACAAGCTGCACTTCCTAATCCAAAGGAACTTTTGGTCTGATTTGTTAATAGCCTCTCGTGACACAAAAGCCAAATGAAACATTTAACTCTTTCCTTCACTTCCAGATGTCATACCTTTCTCCATCTAGGATCTTCATCCATGTCTCCTTGCATGACTAGCTTCCCATAACTTGATTTACTGAAAACTAGTCTTTAGGTAAACCTGCAAACAAGAAAAAATCGTCACCATAACAGCTACTGGGTGGCAGAATATGTAACAGCTCAATTTAGAAATTATGTTGGTTATGTATTTATTTATGAATACTTTGTAATTTATTCTGTTTATTAGATTATTGGTGAGTGTGTAACACTTTGTTGAAAAAGTCATGAAAATTTTAAACACTACTAGTTATTAATGAAGAAGTTATTATAAGAAATAAAACTGATGCTTTGGAGAAAAATATGCAGATTGCTACGTTGTTTTGTTTTACTTGCTATAAATTAAGGCAAATGCATAAACAATAAATATTTCAACATTAAAAGTCTTTTTATTGTGTATTTTATCTTTCATAAATAAAGTCTGCAGTTGCTATATCAACTTGTATTGTTATTATTTTACACTTTATACCGCTTTCTATGAATCTGACCATGGGGAAATTTCGCGTAGTTTCCTAACAACTGGTATCAGATCCGGTTGATTCTTTCCGTTTCATAAGCGATCCAGAGAAGTCAGACTTGAGTGGGAGCGATGACAGCAGATGAATGAAAGGTGAAAATTGAAAAGTTCAACTGTGCGGGCTTCAGCTTTTGGAAGATGCAAATAGTAGATTATTTGTATCAAAAGGGAATGCATGAACCTCTCATGGGCACGAAACCAACGACAATGGACGATAGTTCCTAAACCCTTCTCGATAGAAAAGCTCTTGGAGTCATTCGATTGACGTTATCCCGTAATATTGCTTTCAACATTGCAAAAGAAAAGACAACGGTTGATCTTATGAAGGCTCTTTCCAGTATGTACGAAAAGCCGTCGGCCTCAAACAAAGTTCATTTGATGAGGCGATTGTTCAACTTACGGATGACAGAAGGTGCGTCAACAGCGCAACATCTGAACGAACTCAACATTGTTACAACCCAATTGAGTTCAGTTGGAATCGACTTTGATGAAGAAGTACGGGCTTTGATACTCTTGTCTTCCCTGCCAGAAAGTTGGAATGCTACTGTCACAGCCGTGAGTAGCTCATCGGGAAGCAACAAGTTGAAATTTGATGATGTTCGTGATTTAGTTCTCAGTGAAGAAATCCGGCGGAGAGATTCAGATGAATCATCAACCTCTTCAGTATTGCATACAGAGTCAAGAGGAAGAAGTTCAACCAGAGGAAGCGGACGAGGCAAATCAAAAGTGAGACGATCAAAGTCCAGAAATCATCATACTTCTAACAACTCGAAGACTATCGAGTGTTGGAATTGTGGGAAGACCGGACACTATAGAAATCAGTGCAGGAGTGCATTGATGAATCAAGAGGCGAAAGATGAGGCAAACATTGCTTTAACCTCAGGAGGAGGTGATGCATTGATATGTTCTTTGGAGAGCAAGGAAGAGTCTTGGGTGTTAGACTCTGGAGCATCCTTTCACGCAACTTCACAGAAACAGTTCTTCGAAAATTATGTCCCCGGGAACCTCGGTAAAGTATACCTTGATAATGAACAATCTTATGAGATTGTGAGAAAAGGTTTAGTGAAGATTAAGTTGAACGAGTCTGTTTGGGAGCTGAAGAATGTCAGACACATTCCTGACCTGACGAAGAACTTAATCTTAGTAGGCCAGTTGGCCAGTGATGGCTACACAACAATCTTCGATGGAGATCATTGGAAGATTTCTAAAGGTGCAATGATAGTTGCTCGCGGTAAAAAGAGTGATACTCTTTACAAGACAGTTGGAGCATTTCATTTGATTGCAGTTGCAGTAAATGAAAGTCTCAATCTATGGCACCAAAGACTAGACCATATGAGTGAGAAAGGAATGAAGGTCATGCACTTAAGTAGAAAACTACCAGGTCTTCGGTCAATAGAAATTGACATGTGCGAAGACTGTATACTTGGAAAGCAAGAGTTAGCTTTCAGACAAGTAGGAGAACCCCAAAGAAGGAGAAACTCGATCTTGTCCACCCTGATGTTTGGGGTCCAACTACCATCTCATCTATTGGTGGGAAGAAATACTTTGTGACTTTTATTGATGATCATTCTAGAAAGGTATGGGTATACTTTCTGAAATATAAGTCTGACGTATTCGAGGCTTTCAAGGTGTGGAAAGCCATGGTAGAAAATGAGACCGGATTGAAGATCAAAAAGCTCTGAACCGACAATGGTGGTGAGTACGAAGACACCAGATTCAAGAAGTTCTGCTATGAGCACGAGATCAGAATGGAGAGGACCATGTCAGGTACGCCTCAACACAATGGTGTAGCTGAGCGTATGAACCGGACGTTGACAGAAAGAGCTAGAAGCTTGCGTGTTCAATCAGGCCTACCAAAACAATTCTATGCAGAAGCAATCAATACAACAACTTACTTAATCAACCGAGGTCCATCAGTACCATTAGAGCAGAGAATACCAGAAGAGGTATGGAGCGGAAAAGAGGTAAAACTCTCACATCTTATAGTTTTTGGTTGTGTAGCATATATGCACATTAGTGATCATGGCGGGAATAAGCTTGATCCCAAATCAAAGAAGTGCACTTTCCCCGGTTATGGTGAGGATGCGTTTGGCTATCGCCTATGGGATGATGAAAACAAAAGGATGATCCCCAGTAGAGATGTGATCTTCAATGAAAGAGTTATGTACAAGGACAAACAGAATATAGGTGCCAACAACTCAGATTCTAGTGGGCCAGTTTATGCAGAAGTGGACGATGTCCCAGAAAGTCCTATAGTTGATAACCCTCAACTAGAGGAAACAACTAAACAAAGCGGTGAGCAACAACCTGACATATCAGAACCTCTGACTCCAACTCATGTATTAAGAAGGTCTTTTAGAACTCGTGTTCCTAACAGGAGATACATGGACTATATGTTATTGACAGGTGAAGGGGAACCTGAAGATTATGCAGAAGCATGTCAGACCGAAGATGCTAGAAAGTGGGAACTTGCTATGAAAGACGAGATGAAGTCTTTAATCTCCAATCAGACATGGGAACTTGTTGAGTTACCTATGGGAAAAGGGGAACTTCATAATGAATGGGTGTATCGGGTCAAGGAGGACTATGATGGATCTAAGAGATACAAGGCCCGATTAGTTGTCAAAGGATTTCAGCAAAAAGAAGGAGTTGACTACACTGAAATCTTTGCTCCAGTTGTGAAGCTCAATACTATCAGGTCTGTGTTAAGTATTGTTTCCAGTGAAGAGCTCTACCTAGAGCAATTGGATGTG